AGACCAAAGGAATGTAGTTGAACTTTACAAAAGGAAGCAAAAAAGCTTTTGAGGTCCGTTTAGAAAATGAGAACTTGTGAGCACTAGAAGAAAGAACATTTACCTGAGAATTGGCAAAGCTGGCCAGAGTAGGAATAGCTTCGTCTCCAAGTTTATCAATGATGGACTACAAATAACAAATGAGAAATAAGATTCAGCCTCAGCGAGAAATTTCCACTGGTAGGGACACCAATAAATAGATAAGAATACCTGTGCCTGATCAAAAGTTTTGTCAGAAAGAGCTAACGCAAGAGTGGGAAGATGAGGCCGTTTGAGGAGAGAGAAGGCCCTCACGACTAGAAAGCACAATGACGAGGACTTAAAGATATTAATCTCATTAAGGGAAAAATATGAGATCAAAACATGGCGGTACCCATGTCCTTCTGTTCCGGTGTCAAAGATGCCAGAGCCGGACTCGTTGCAACAGCATATTGCAAGTCCGGACGACGGTAGAGCAGTTCAACGAAGTTCGCATTGGATCTATGACAGAATACGTGGCATTTCAAAAAAGCGAACATCGTCAGTCAACGACGTTGACACTAGTGTATTTAATACATCCTAGACTTAGAGCAGACATGGATTGCAAGAGTAAAAAACTTCAAACTTCACTGACCGCTGACGTTAGATACACTTGTGATGCCATGAATTCAAAGTATCTCTGGAACAAAATCGAACATCAAGTTCCGAAAATGCCCCATGTTTACTAGGGGGAGAAAATGATATTTAAGGCATTAATTGCGAACCGATTGAGGCAAATTCAGAAAAACTCAGTCCTGCTACGTAAAATGGGAAAAAATCCTTTAATACCAGTGCAGACATTGGAAATTAAAGTTACAAATAAGATAGAACATGACCATGCCAATGGAGTTACAAAAACTCACTTGGGAGACACAAGACCACCACAACAGAGAGCAGCAATCGCATCTTTTCGTAGAAGACAAGATATCCACGCCAAGACAGAGGTTTCGTGTCCCGCTGCTATCAGTTTGGCTGCCAGAAGAGTCAAGTTTTCGGGACTGGAAAGTAGACTGCCAGATGAGTCGATGACCTGGTGCACCACCGACCAGAAGGCGAACTGCGTCTTTTTGAAAACACTTGGACGCAGGGACTGCGCCACCACGCTAGTATCTGTAACAAATGGATGGTCTGCAATAGCGACCGCAGCGGCATCGACTGCTGTTGCCACCGAAGCCGCAGTTGCCTCTTCTACCGTAGAATTAAGTGATGCGATAATCTCCTGAAGTCGAGGAATCAGAGGATTAAGGGAAATACTCCCGCGCAGAGTTAACCGATCGGGAGAAAAGAGGTCAGCAGGAATGCGAGGAAGAGAATCGCCAAAGACTTTGGTTGCAAGAAGCACTTCGGTGGTTTGAGGTAATAACGTCAGACCCAGCTGACAGGCCCAGTCACGAAGCGCATAAGCGGCGAAGATTTGGTGGTTTTGGCCTTAAGAATTCAGATGCACCAATAGTTCCTTTTGCTAAATTTAAGTTATTCATTTAGTTAATCAGTCTTACATAAGTCCTCAATCGCGGCGTGGACGTTACGCACCTTCCGTAAATGATTAAAGGGTTCTAGTCGTTCGGACAGCAACTTGAAGAAACAGAAAACATGCTGAGATTAAGGCTCGGTATCTACTGTAAAGCTGGAGAAAGTAAATATGCTGACTTTAGCACCCAGACCAAGCGTTGATGCATCCTCTTTACTTGTGCTTGCTTTAACCAATTCATAGTTGTAGGCTCCAAGGGCCATGGTTGGGAGGGTCACGTTGTTCTTTCGTAGAACTAAACGAGAAACGCCAATCTCTGAATTCACCCAGAAGGATAGCAATCAATATTCTGTTGAAACTCACTTTCTTCAAGGACTCGCGTAGCCCTAACAGCATCCAGCTGAACAAATTTATTGATAAACCAACGCGACAGGATGATGGAAAGGTGTTGTGGATAAGAGTCCGCCATCTTGTTCAAGAAAAGCACGATACCATCCATATCGGAACTAGAATGGAAGCAGCTTGACCAATTACAAGGTTTTCGAAGTTCATGTTAAAAAAAAGAGTGACGTACACATTAAGATACTGTTCACCAATCTTTGTGGCGGAAAAGGCAGGACTTTTGATGCCCGCGACATTAATAAGAGCCCAAAATAGGTCTTCCAGCTGTTTCGGCGTAAAGCGGGGTGTCGAACACACCCCTTCGACGGCATCTGCACCAGCGTAAGTATTAGAAACAGCTAAAGCTTCGCCAAGGAGATCCATATTTTGTTGGGAAATGTGCCCAAGGGGACTGGTTTCTTGAGATATCGACTTGTGCATCTGCTCCAGCTCCATTGTCACTTCTGAGGCAAGTAAATTAAGAATGAATTCAGTAGTTCAAGTGCTCGAATTTTTTTTCTACTAACTAGCCGACCAATTCGCATGGCACGAGAGGATACGGAAAACACACCTTCAATGAAAGAATTAAAAACAAAGAGGCGAAACCCCAACCCAAATGTGTACAACAGAGTAAACCAGGAATGGGCATAAAAATCACTAACCTTCAATCTCTCCGGCTTTTATTCGATTGGCAAGGATGGTATATTTGGTACTGAATAATCAGGAAAGTAAATTAATATTCTGTGAAGAAATTGATAAAGTATCAAAAGAGAACGATTTGTAGCACGGAAGAAATGGGCAACTTACGCACTACCAGCGGGAATCAATGTCGCAATGGACTCCTATAGGAAGACGCATGAAATAACACGAATTTATGGGTTATAAATAGAAAGACTCGTTTAAACATACATTGGACAACCCTAGCTCCCTCAAAATCTTTTTAATGGTATCCAGGTAGGAGATTGGTGTTTTCTAAAAAAGATGCAAAAAGCCCCGTGAACCAGAGAAGCAACAGAAACTTTTCAAGTTGACCTCGATGCCAAAAAAATAACCACTCATTAAGAGGTAGTAGGTGAAAGCATGATCACTGTTACGCACTAAACACACAGTTAAACGTTTTTATTAGACCCCCCCATAGCCTAGGTCCTGGAAGCCTAAAAGGCAGTTGTAAGATGAATCACTCTTCTATGACGACTAAGCTATAAAATGATGACGACCAAGAAGCAATGATGGGACGTAAAACTGTTGTGTAATCGTACTTAAGATTCTTGTAATGTGATTCATATCATTAGCAAGTACGAAAAAGGTCGTTCGAAGTTCCACTGTTATTAATTCCAAATATAACTGTTAACAGTTCGACACTAAAAGCCGCTGACGAGATGCAAAAAAAACATAGACATGCATTTCGTGATTTTCGTCATAATGCAGATGTTCATTTTTAACTTGATCCCAAAATATCACCAAAACGATAAATGAAGTAAGCCAGTAAATGTGAATAAAAATGTTTGTTGAGTGCATTCTAAGCCCAAAAAATCTCATTAAAGTGGGAAAAGGCTGTTTCGTCATTATTAATGTTGGAACACCCCATAGGGATCCGTTTACACGTCCATTTAGCAAGACACCTACCTGCCTACCGAAGTAGGTCACAAAGGCATTAGCAAGCGCCCGTCTTGCCTGATCATCAAGACTAGCGAAACGAGAGGCGGTGGAATCTGCCGCCCCTACCATGCCCTGACCGCAAAAGCGAAGTAGAGCACTCGCGAGTAAAGGGTGACGATCAGGAGCAAAACAGTTTAAGAGAGCACCCGTCCATACATCCAA